CATTAAAAAAAATGTTTTTTTTTTTTTTTTTTTTGTTTTAAACTTTTAATGTTCCATGTTGAGATCAAAAGATCATCATATATAGAAATTTGAATTTTTAAAAATTTTGACGACTGGTGTTGACGACTGTTCACTTATGATCTAATATCAAGAAATGTGTGTATTTAGATGCACCAGTATTAAGAATCGCTTCCTCGCGATATCATTCAAAAATAGTTATACTGTTTAGTATTTTATAGCATTTTGAGGATTTCGTTATTATTTGTTGTAATTTGGCGTTTCAAGATCTCAGAGTATAAGAACTAAATCAATCGATAATTTCCAATATAAGTCCACTATTATATATATTTTTCACTGGCCAATTTTCAACAAAATTAGTTCATATTTTGACATAAACCGTTATAACTGTACCGGCCGGTTTTATGCAGTCTGAATTAAATATTAAAAAAAAATGAATTTGGGGTGTCGGAATCCCACAAAATTTTTAATTTTGTCTTTTTTAGTTTTTGGTCATTGAAAATACTTAATCCAAAAATTAAATACAAAATATCGAAGAATCAAAAATTGAAGAATCATATTTTGAGCGAGATTCTTTTAATTTTTCAATTTATTTTTTTTTTTTTATTTAAATTTTATTTTTTTTTTTTACAAAATACACATTCTATTCCAACATACATATTGATTATCCTTTAAATGAATAGCACTTTTAGAAAATGTCGAAATTATGTATGGGTAATTTATAGAAATATGGTAAAAAATAAAACCAGTTGCGTAATGGAATTTCAAACATCTGAATTATGACACAGCTGACAACAACCATTACGATGTTCCTCCTGATGACGACACAACAAATCTCAATTAAATGTTAAATATGATTTGTTTATAATTTAACAGAAAGAGTTTGAGCTGTGTAACGTTAAAAGTGTTTAGAAAAGAGTATACAAAAATTCAAAGAGTAAAATTACAGACATGCCTTAAAATGTTCTCTTTTAGTGTATTAGATGAAATTCTCTTTATATTTTCGTTGCTCACTCTTAATATGACTCTTTGTTTATAAAGATGCTCTTCCAATGTTAACAGTGTGTGCAGCTGGTGTTTACAAACAAACTACACAAATTAGTTTAGTCTTATTTAACAGTCTATAATAGAGGTTGTTAATTGAAATGAGAAAATGTTACCTAACCCACTGAAGGGGGATTTTCCCATGAAATCGAATAGTTTCAGGGAAAATTGCAATAATCATTTTCATTATTTTCTGTAACGCTACATTATTCAAGGAAAACCAAAGGTGGTAATATGCATATGCAATTAAATGGGCCCTAGGAGCTAAAGAACGTCACGCAAGGCAGAGGGATATTTTGTTTGTATAATGTGAGAACACTCGGATAAACGGATTGGGGAAACTTATTTTAATTGATCATAATGTTTTGTTGATTAACGCGAATTGTGGGTGGAATTAAAGATGAAAACAAATATTAATATTGGGAGGTCTGAGAAATTCAAAGAAGGCTCCTTTCGGGGTAAGCGACCATCATAAAATCAGCGATCCATCATAAAATCAGACAATTGAAGACAGGATTTAAAAATTTTTCCTAGAGAGTAAAAAAAGGGTTTAAGTCCGGCCAAACTTTCTATACACTTTGCCATGTAAAAATTAAATTATTTTGGAATTCCCAAAAATTTGGAATTGGGCCATACGGAAAAACTATAAAAATAAGCGTGAGCTATTTCAAAATCTCTATAATCAAGAACATTTGCAAGGGTATTTTTCAATTATTTTGATTTCAAAATGCTGCCACTGGAAACTGTAGCCAGGAACCTAAAAAAAATGTGCATCCAATTTGTCTTATATTAGAATTTTTAGACACAATAAATGTGAAATTGGATGAAGATATATATGGGAGGTACAACAAATCTGAACCGATATCTGCATAATTCGACTCAGAATGTGAGTCTATGCAGATTATCAAAAGGAACTATGGGTCTAGCCAACTTTCATCTTTATGGTACAAACAAATACATAAAGATATAATACCCTGTGTCTGGTCTAGAGAATAAATGATTGTTGAAAACCTTAAAACACCCAATGTTAGAGGACACCTCAATATGGGGGTTATTGAGACATATATTGAAACATTTCTGTACGTTGATTTTTGTTTTCTGAGGGCCTAAAGCTCCAACTTTATCAGAATCATGTAAATTGCAACAAAACTTGGGATAACGTTATATAGGACCTATACCAAATTGTGAATCTATTATGCCTTACTAAATAATTAGTAAAGGCGGCAAAGAATTTACGTGTCTAACTATAAAACCTAAGGTCGCTGGTTCGTCTGCAAACATGGAAAAAAGCAACAAGCCATTAAACGACAGTTAATGTTTGTAACAGTGGCAGAGTAAATGATGTGCCCGACTACCAACCAGGGGGTTATAAGATTAATCCCGCCATAGACAAAATTAGAACATGACAAAAATCAAGTGAGGGTGAAATTGAACACCTTTTTCTGATGTAATTCGAAACATTTTAATTGTAATCCTTGAAGTCCATTTAAAATTCGTTTCATTTCAAATTTCCATTTCAGTTTTTCAATTTTTAGTTCGAAAAAAAAAATACGAAATCTTATTTAATTAGTTTTTTTTTTTTTTTTTTTTTTTTTTTTTTGATTTGCAAACTTATTATTTGGAATTTCGAATTTCCATTCCATTAAAAAAATTTGGAATTATGTTACAAATTAAACACAAATTCAATTTAATACCTTTTCAGACTCAATTCGAAGCAGTTTAATTGGCTAGAATCCATTACAAACCGTGAATACGAAATTTTAAACAATTCCGGTCACTAACTTCTCTAAAATCATCAAAATACCGAATATTGGAGGTATATGGGGGCTATACGAAGACATGGACCTGCATATGCAATTTTTGGTCATAGGCTGCAGTACCCATTTCAAACTAGAAAGACGCAATTTGAAACAATTCCGGTAAAAATTTCGTTAAAATCATCAAAATACCAAATATCGGTAACGCTGTTTGGGAGCTATACGATATCCTGGACCTATATAGAAAATTCCATCGAAATGTTGACTACAATCTTCCAAATACCGAATATTGGGGGTACGATATCGTGGGCCGATATAGCTCATCTTCGAACTTGATCTGCCTGCAGACACAGGACTAATCTGTGCAATTTTAGCTTTCCATTTCAATTCGTTTTGACTCTAGCGTGATTAATAACAGACGGACGGACGGACAAGTCTAAATCGTCTAAGAATTTTTTTATATAAATTTTTTTAGGTCTAAAATTATTATTTCGGTGAGTTACAAACGGAATGACGAGCTTAAAATACCTTTCAGATGATCTGACCTATCTTCGACTATCGTTTAACATTTTTCCACTAGGCTAAAGAAGGTGGGGTTGATTCACGAGCATTAGGGTCTTCTTTTCTTCTATAGAATATTCTTAGCACCGGATTTGGGTTAGCCTTGTGTACAACACTCTTAATCAGATTTTTTTTTTATCAATTAGCTTACTCGTAATGCAGAGGGTATATAGTTGACATTATTTTTGGGATACATATTGTAAGGAAATCGTTTTCCGAAAAAAATTCAACATTTTAATTATTGCTATTGTAATAATTTCTATCCCAAATATTTGACTTTAGATTCTTGTTCTATGAAAATATGGAATGAAGATATTTTTTCTTTCGAATTGAGCTTTTAATAACCTAGGAAATTCTTATTTTCAATGACATAGGTCATTAAAAGCTCAACTCGAAAAAGAAAGTGATCAAATATCCATCAACAAATGACCTTTGACTTAATAAGCCAAAAATTTCAAAACAAGAAAAAAATAAATATTTCCTTTAGAAAATTTTCTTCTTGGCATTTAATTCCTTTATAAAAGTTTTCATTTCACATTTTCATAGAAAAAAGAATTGAGGGCTTGCTTTTACCCTGACAGAGAGCTGAAATGACAAGCACGGTTAAATTGAATTTTATCACTCTCCATTGAATATTTTGAGGAATTGCGAGCAGATTGACAAAACTAATGCAACGTTCATCTTTCGATGATTTGATTATCACTTTTGGATAACTTTTATGACAGATTTTTTTTTTTTGGAACTACAAATCCATGTGAAGCTCTGTTTCCGTCTCCTCATAGAGGGGATGGTATACAGTCATTTCCAGTTGACATTTACTCTTATATTGCTCTATGATTATTTCCACTTAACAACAAAAGCATTCACACTTGTTGAATACAAACTTTGGCAATCATTCAAAAATCATTCTGAAAATCATCTCTTCCAATTGCAAAGAGGAAGAAGAAAAACTCAAATATTTGTTCTCTCTAAATTCCTTGCCATACAAAAAAAAGCGCAACATAATTAGCTCCACAAGAAAAATTAGTCATAACCATTAACACAGGTGATGTGGACAAACACACACCCCCCCCCCCCCACACTCTCATTTCCCGGCAATTTTCTCGATAGAAGCCAAACAGTCATATGGATTATGTCATACATTGTCATGGGCAAAAATGCCAAAACTAAGAAAAAATAAATGGAAATTTAAGTAGTCGAATTTTTCACAAAATGTGAATGTGATGGCTTCAAGTGGCAAAAGATCGATGGCGGCGTACACTCTAATAGTCTAAAGGTGTCAGTCATTGGGGTGATTATGTTGCGTTGCTGCTGCCTGCAATTGTGAAGATTTTGACAGCGGCCTGGTCCGTGTGGCGTGTGTGTGTGCGCGTGATCGTTTCTTTTGCGGCGGGTGTAGTTTGACAAATAATTTGCCTGTCATTTATTTTGACTTAAAAAACAAACACAACCAGCCATAATTCTTTTCTTTAGTGTTTGTTTTCCATTAGTTTTTATTTGAAAATTTTTATTTTTAAGATAATATTGTATTTGTTGGAATTATTTCTGGCCATTTAGGCAATTAGACAAAGATTTATGCCAACTCACGTTTGTTTTGTTCTTCTTTTGTTTTCATTTCAGCGCCTTCGAATTTTAAGAGCCTTTTGTTGCGTGCCGAGGTGTTGCGAAAAATGAATCATTACCAGAGCTCATTGGCCGATGTGGATAATGCTTTGAAATCACGTTATACATCTGCCAAGGTGAGAATACAACTGATCCTTTAAAAATAAATATTTATTTCTCGTTTTTTTCTCCATTAGGCTCACTATTTACGTTCCTTGGCTTTGAGCGATTTGGGTCGCTACGAAGAAGCTCTTTATGAAATATGTTTAGCCATTAATTTGGATAAATCTTCAAATCTCAGCAGTACTGAATTATTTCAGCATGATCTCACGAAGGTAAGTCGACATTAAGATAAAAGTTTTGAATTGAAGATAAATAGAATTGTTTATGTACGTAGTATTTATATAAAAAGTACATCCGAAAGGAGTAAGAAAAGAGTCCATATTCGAACGATTTCGAATATAAACAGGAAATAAAATCTATTGAATATTGGCGGTATCGTTACCGCACCTCTTGCTGGGTTTTTATCCATTGCGAGTTTCAAATACCAAAATTGATCATCGGGAGCTACGAATATCGGGAAATTGGGAAAACGTGAACCTATATCCACAATTTTTTGCCACAGATTTTAACGCTCATTCCAATCTCTAAATACCAAGTTTGAAACAATTCCGTGGCTTATATTATCACAATATCGGGAGGTTTTGTGGGGCCTATAGGAAAACGTGGACCGATATTACTCATTTTGATCAGTATTATATACTCTATGGGGCCTTCGAGGAATATTTCAGGATTTTACAAACGGAATGACAAATTTAATATACGCTACTTCTAGGGTGCAGGGCATACAAATAAATGTTATCTGAAACGGATTTGTCTAGGGATCTGAAAAGACAAAAAATTAATTAAAAAAATGTTTCCTGACTCACAGAAGACATCGCTATATTAAAGAATACACAAATCTGGTACCCAATTTAAACCAAATGTCAGATTTTGCTCGATTTTACTCGCGAGAGAAATATCCTCGCAAACAGCAGTGTTCGAAGAGTAAGAATTTTACAAGAAATTCACTCAAAATCTGGCACCAAAATTCAGATTTTGCTCGACATTACTCGCGAGCGGCAGTACTCGAAGAGTACGAATTTTTAATTTATTAGGGTGAGTTTGAGTCAAAATGTTCGAAATAGAGTAAGAGTTTGCTCGAAGAGTACAAAAATTACTTTGTTTACTGATTTATATGTTGGATTTGGATGTGAGGTGTGAGATCGTGTAGAAAAGGCAATAAGAGAAAGACAGCACAATAAAGAGCCAGTGGACTTTGTGTACAAAAAAGAAAAAAAAAAAACAACATCAACAATAAACAAAAGAATACTCGCCAAAAGTAAATTTCGAGCGAAATTTACTCCCACTTGAAAATGAGCACTAGTTCTCTTTCGAGCAGCATTCAAAAATAGAGCATACTCTCCTGACTTGCATAAAATAGCTGCATACTTCATAGCCTCATAGTAAAAAATGTAAACATCTGGTTCCAAATTTAAACAACTTTACTTGTGAGAGAAACATCCTCGCTAGGCTGTAATCGAACAGAACGAATTTTACAAGAAGTTCAGCCAACTCTTTTCTTTTATGAGAGAAACAGCGAGAGAGAGAGAGTACTCTAGTTTTACAAATAAGAGTTTGAGTCAAAATGTTCCACAGAAAATGAGAGTTTATTCCAAGAGAGCAATCGAGTAAAAAAGTAATTTGTTTAGGAGTTGGGTTTCAATGCTGTTGTGGGGTGGGATCCTGAGCAAAAGCCAAGAAGAGAAAGATTTTGGGTACAAAAAAGAAATAAACAAAAGAGTACTCGGCAAGGGTAAAATCTGCCCGATTTCGAGTACATTTTACTCCCACTCGAATATGAGCACAGCTCACTTGCTCTCATTCGAACAGCTTACAAAAAAGAGCATACTCAACTTTTTTATTTTCAGGATTACTTCCGCTCAAATTCGAGCTAGCTTCAGTCTCTACTCGAACTAGCTTTCATTCTTAGTGAACATTTCAAAAATCTGATTTAAACGCCTATCTAATTCCCAATGTTTTATTCCATTTCATTGCAGATACTCCAAAAACTTCTCTCTCAAACGCCGAAATGCGTTAAATTGGATATGGTAAGCTCTTCGCTACGTTCCAAGTGCCCCGGCTATGATTTTCCAGCCCGGGAGCATCGAATCAAACGAAGAAATATCAACGCACAAGATGAGGAAACGCTGCAGGCAGCAATCTGCGAAGAGGATGATTTCCTATCGGCCAACTATGGCAAAGAATGTGATATACTAATGACGGAAGATGATGTCCTGTCGTGTCGGGATTTTCTCAACTGTGCCGATAAACGTTATACCTATGCTAGCATAGCGCGTAAATATGAAATGGAGCTAAAGCGACAGACGTCACGAAAACATTTTCGCCGGAAATGGACACCAAAGGAAACAGAACTTTTGCCGATTGTGGATGTGGAGAGTGCACGTTGCAGTGGACAATTCCGCAATGTTTTGGAGCGTTTGCAACAGGAGTTTGTGAGACTGAAAAGTAAGTAAACCCCCATAGTCATATAGAATATATAAAAATGTCATTATTTTTTTTACAAATAGAATCCTCGCCAGAATATGCCATGAAACAATTGATATCTGTTGCACCCTCTCTCATTGATGCCAGTGACTTTGATTGCGTCTTGTGTTGCCGCACTTTCTGGAAACCGGTGGTGACACCCTGTGGCCACACCTATTGTTTGGTGTGTCTGGATCGCTGCATGGATTATACCTCATCTTGCCCGCTGTGCATGTCACCGTTGGTAGAGCCAAGTGTAAATATGGTACAGGGTGCCTCATCGCCTGTGCCCTTGATATTGACCAAAAGACCGGTAACCAAATTTCTTGAGGCCGCCATGAAACGTTTCATTCCAGATAGCTACCAAAAACGTTTTCGCCAAGAAATGATAATGGAACCGTCGGTTCCAATATTCATTTGTACCACAGCATTCCCATCGGTCCCCTGTCCATTGTTCGTCTATGAGCCACGCTATCGTCTGATGGTACGACGAGCCGTCGAATCGGGTGACAAACAATTCGGCATTGTCCAACAGCATAGTGGTAAGGCCCGTTATCACGATTATGGTTGCATGCTGGATATACGAGATTGTGTGCTACTGGGCGATGGCTGTTCGATTCTCAGCACAATGGGTTGTAAACGATTTAAGATTTTGGCGCGCAACGAAAAAGATGGCTATGAAACAGCTAAAGTCGAGTACATACATGATGAGGCCATACCCGATGAACATTTGTCCTATGTAAAAAGTATGCATAATATTGTGCTGAACAAAGCCATAGCATGGTATGAGAGCCTGGGACAAGATCTTAAGCATGAAATATTACAGAGCTATGGTGAAATGCCAGTGGTTGAGGAGGATTGGTCGAGTCGAGAAGATGGACCGGCTTGGGCGTGGTGGGTAATTGCATTGTTGCCCTTGAGACCACAACTGAAGGTGAGTGGTCGATGTGAAAGATTTTTTTTTTATTGATTTTTCGTCATTTTGAGGTGAGAGAGGCTGTCCAATTTGAATGTTGTTAGGATTACATTCCCCCCGTTTCTTAATTTAAAATTTCCACAAAATCGGAGATGACCTCTTATTTTGTAGTTTGTATACCCTCCACCATACTATGAACGGTATATTAAGTTCGTCATTCCGTTTGTAACACCTCGAAATATACATTTTAGACCCCCCAAAAAAAAAATTCTATGTTGACTTAGCGATGTCCGTTGTCCGACGAAATGAATTAGGTTGATAAAATTTTACTCAAACGTATATCTGCAGGACTTTTGGCATTGGAAATGGGCCATGTAGGTCCTCGTATTGGTATAGCCCCCATATAACGGTACCTCTTGATATTCGGTACTTCGATGATTTTAGCGACATTATTCACCGGAATTGTTTCAAATTTGGTATTTGAAGTTCGTAATGGATACTACAGCCTATGACAGGAGATTGTCTATGCAGGTCCACGTCTTCGTATAGACCCCATATAACGGTACCTCCTAATATCCGTTATTTTTATGATTTTAGCGATATTTTTTAACGGAATGGTTTCAAATTTGGAATTTGAAGTTCGTAATAAATACCACAGCCTAAGACAGAAAATTGTCTGTGCAGGTCCACGTCTTCGTATGGGTCCCATATAAGGGTACCTCACGATATTCGGTTTTTTATGATTGTAGTTACATTATTCACCGGAGTTGTTTCAAATTTGGTACTTGAAGTTCGTAATGGGTACTACAGCCTATGACAGAAAATTATGTGTGCAGGTCCACGTTTTGGTATAGGCCCAAATAATGGTACCTCCCTATATTCGGTGTTTTGATGATGATAAGCGACATTATTCGCCAATTTTTTTTTTTTAATTTCGCATTTCAATATTGTAAAGGCTTATACATCGTATACATATGGCTACGTTCGGTATTTTTAAGATTTAAACGGATTTTATTGTTTTGAAAATTGCCAAACTCTTTCCAATTGGTGGAGGGTATTCAAAGTTGGGCCCGGCCGAATTTACAGCTTTTTTACCGTTTTTATTAAACCTGTATACATTAACTTAACTCTTCTAGTTACATTCGTAATATTATGGTTAAAAATCTATGAAGACATCTCCGAATATCCTCCAACTACATCAAAAGATTTTGTCCCTACTTGTCCTTCAAAAACAGAGCTGTAATTTCACAATTCTATTTTTGAATAGTATATGATACTTCAAACATATTAATTACAATCTCCAAATCATACCCCAAAAAATGGCTGAAAATCTATTTAAATTTTATACTCTGTATAGCTTTCAAATTATTAACTTTTCTTTCATTTCAGGTTGATATTTTAGCCACGACATCGCTGGAGAAACGTCTACGTGCCATAGAGAAGACAATACATTCAATGCCCGGCAATTATCATTATCAGAGAGTATCGCCAAATGGCAATGTGGCTGTTGTGGTTCACAGTCAACAACACAGTCATAGCAATTTAAATAGTCCACGTCATGAGAATGACGACGAGGAGGATGATGATCTTGATATGAGTAACGAGCATGTGATCTTGGATGATGAAAATGACAATGGAGATGAGGAAATGGAAGAGGAGGAGGATTTGGATGTGGATGTTGAAGGAACAACAATAGAACATCATATACAAAATCTGGATGATAATGATGAAAATATCAATAATGATGATATCGATGGTGAACTGATACAAAATCATCATCATCACCATGATCAGCAAGAGCATATGAGCCCAAATTCCATGCAACAATATTCTCAGCGGCATCATCGACAAAGGCACCATAATCATCATCCTCATCATCACCACCGGCATCATCATCAGCTACATCAAAATCCATTGCAGCCCCAGGAACACTTTGAAAATGTCGACAATGTCGATGAATGCTGTCAACGCACAACAACAAGTTTGGTACAACATGTCTTAAGCAATGATCAGTCACAGGACAACCATCATCTTCATCACACCAATGCAAATGCTGAACACCTTAATAATCATCACCACTCGTATGAGAATCATCGTCGTCATGCAGCTCACTCTTTATTATTATAAATTGAATAGAAAAAAATGATATGTAAATGTATGGAAATCACGGTGGAGAAACCTGATTTCCTCCACACCTTGCAATGTTCCATTGACTTTATTATAAAACCAGGGAACATTTCTGATATAACTAGAATTTAAGAATATTTTCGAACCCAACCTCATTACATTTAATACAGGACATAAGAATATATGTATGTGTATGTAAAAGTGTACTGATACTGTACACAATCTATGTATCTATCTATCTCTCTTTCTCTTTGTAGAGTAGGGTATTCAGAATACCAAACTATTTGTTAAATGTCTGATATATCTAAAACAAATATCTAAGTATATAGGTGTGTATGTATGAAAGTGTATGTCTTTATCTATATTATTTAGATTTCGATGTATGTTTGTATATTTGGATATTGTGATACCTACAAGAGCAACATAAGCAAATCCTTTCTTATAAGTAAATATATTTAAGGTAAATATACATACAGTAACATATATTAAAAAAAATCCAAACTTATTGGCAATCCAAAACCATTTTTTATATTTTCCAATTTTTCCATGTGTAAAAAGTAAATAACAAAAAGAAAGAACATGCAAATTAATAATATTGTAAACAATAACAAGGTTATTTTTTTAAATAGATGCCTGACAATGGAGCATATTAATTAAAAAGGATTTACTGTTTAGATTGAGATGAGTTAAGACTGAAATTGTTGGCAAAAATATCTAAAATTTAATTTAAGTGAAATTTGCTCCACACATTTTTTTATTAAAGAAAACTCCATTTTATGTTTTTGATATAAGTTTTTTATTTAACAAACAAATATAATGACTATTAAAATTAAAACAAACAAATTCAATTGATTCAATTTTTTATTATGAATTTTCATTTTAATTTGTTTTTTGCGGACAAAAATTTTATGCAATTAGGCTTTAGATAACTTATAATATGGAGGAATTTCAAATGAAATACAATTAAGTAAAGGCGGGGATGCATAAGCAGCTTGACATCGTAGCATCGCATATTAATGTCTTGCAATGATGCGAAGCCTAATACCTAAATTGAACGATTTAAATTAATTACTTCATTAAATTCTCCTTTTATTTATGATTTTTGAGTTTTTATGGATAATAAAAGCGGTCTCTGTTATAAAATTCAAAATATAACAAGGCTTCCCTACAAAAATTCTCATCTTCCCTACTATGATAAAAATATAAAATATTAAAAATATGGAAGGTGCATGTATTGAGGGAACAATAAAAAATTTAAAAGCCATTTTCAAGCAAAAAAAAAGCATTAAGTTTGACCTGGCCGAACTTTGAATAACCTCCATTTGGAATAAATTTGGAAATTTTCAAATAATAAAAAAAAAAATCTGTTAAAATCTTAAAAATTCCGAATATAGCCATTATATTGCAGTCTTTACAAAGACGTGGGGTCTATACGAAGACGTGGCAACTTTTGTCATAAGCCATTACAATATTCAAATACAAAACTTGAAAAAAACTTCGGTTAATAATGTAGCTAAAATCATCAAAATACTGAATATAGAAAGATATCGTTATATCGGGGCTATACGAAGACCTTAACCGGCATAGACAAATTTCTGTCGCAGGTTGTAGTACCTTTTAAAAATTTCAAATATGAAATTTCAAACAATTTCGGAAAATATTGTACCCAAAATTGTGAAAATACCGTATATAGGGAGGTACTTATATGTGGAGCCTATACGAAGACCCATTACGAATTCTAAATGCGAAATTTGAAACATCTCCGGTGTATAATGTCCCTAAAATCGTCAAAATATCGAATATCGCGGGGAACCGTTGTATGTGGGCTATACGATATCGTGGACCTATATAGAAAATTCCCATCCAGGAGGGGTAGAAAGAACTTCTAGTATGAATTTTTAGCCAATTCCATTGAAAAATGTAGCTAAAATTGACCCGTCACACGCTGCCCGAATGTTGCTCTGCGGTATTTTGGCCCATTCCCAGCGAAGCACTTCCTTAAGGTGATCGAGACATTGGTATTTTGTAGTGCCAACCTTGCTTTCCAAAATATTCCAGACACAATAGTCCAACGGATTGGTATCCGGAGATTTCGGTGGCCATTGTGCGCTGGAGATGAAGCGAGGAACCTCATTTTGTAACCATTCTTTGATGGCGCGTGCTGAGTCCTGTTGGAATGTCCAAGGTCTGCGGCCAAAATGTTTGCATGCCCAAGGCTTTAATACACCCTCCAGAATATCTTCGCGATAATATTCGGCATTTATTCTGATGCCACAGTCGATTAGTACGAGCGGAGAGCGACTATCGGCTGTTATGGCGGCCCACACCATCACTATGGCCGGCGCTTGAGTTCTGGTGGTCAACCGAAAGTGCACATTTTCAGCTGACCTCTTTGACACGTAAACACGATCATTTTGTTTGTTTACAAACTGCTGGACAACGAATGTTTGCTTATCGGAGAAAACCAAATTCCGCAGTTCACCACTTTCGGCCAAGCGAAGCAACTCTTTAGCTCTTTTCAGTCTATTTTCTTTCTGTTGCGGTGTACGTTCTTGCACTTTTTGGAATTTCAACGGCGCTTTTTTTCAAAATTTGCCCAATGGAATATTGCGATATCTTCAGCTCACGAGTCATTTTTCGACCACTGCGACGCGGGTATCGATCAAGTTGCTTCTTTACTTTTCAAACTATTTCTGCTGATGTTGCAGTTTTCTTCCGTCCACTTCCTTGACGTCGGGCTACGCTACCGACACTATCACGCTTGAATTCCATCACCAATAACTGTTTTTCTGGAAAATTCTCACCAAAATGCTTTTGTACGCTTGTAAACAATATAATGAGCTGTCACTGGAATAATTTGAACAACTGTCGGACGAGTAGCTTAGAAATGACAGCAGTCTGAAGTTTGTTGCAGTTTTTTCATCTCACCCTGTATATACTTTATGGGGTCTACGAGGTTACAAACGGAATGACAAGGTTTAAATACCCTCCGTTTCAAGGTGGAGGGTATAAAAATCGGTCATAATCCCCAGAAAGTAGCGGACATTAACTCCATTATGGGGTATGTATTTCTAACCCGATTACTCGGCTATACGACACGAAGTTTCGGATACAAAATCTGGGTTTCATCTGGTTCTGCAAAACTGATATATATAAAATGGGAAGAACAAGTGGTCATATGATGGGGTTGTTTGAATTGGTTACGGGTCAATACAAGAAAATTGGCATTTCTGTACCGGAATTTTTTGAAAAAACCCTAAAAATTCGAAAATTAACCCATTTTGGAGTACGAAGATCTACATATTACATGACAGCCTACACTTTTGCCTTTTCAATGTTACAAATGTTCTGATATCCTTGTAGTTCCGAAGATTTTAGTTTTCTCCACTAAAATATATCTAACCTTTATAGATATATTAAAAAGAAGGCCTTCGACCGTGGCTTGAAGTTTTCTCCTCTGCGATTTGTCATTGTTTTTCTAAGCTTTATAAATTCTGAAAGTAGCCGGCCTTCGATCAACATCAAGATGTATCAGTATTACAGTATAATGTAGTATGTAGAAAAGTGCCTACCTGTGAAAAAATGCAGGTCAATCCGAGCATAGCTCCCAAACTCAACTTAAACCTTGTTTTCCTCGGTGCACTCCTTGTGATATCTCCCACACCAAAGTTCGGAATTTTCAGAAGAAAATATGTTATTGCACAGAAAGAGAAACGAAAATCTAATTTTGCTTCAACTTTGTAAATCCTAATATTTCCATTAGTGCAGTTTAGATGCAAAAAAATGGACTATATCTGCCAATTCCATCAAATACCTCCCCCACAAAGGGTCAAAATTTGGAATAATTATATTAACACAAGAACTGTTAAAAAGATGGTGGAGATCGGAGCATTCCTTCTTGTACCTCCCCCCAAAGGATCAAAGTTTTGAATAACCAAAAACGATCATAAAATCCGAAATAAGCATCCGATTCTCTTAATATTTCACACATCCCATTATTTCTACTAACACAAGATCTGCTATAAGGATGGAATATATGGGTTTACTCCTTCCTATATCTCTACCACAAAGGGTCAAATTTTTCAGTATCCATGAAGCTCACAAAACATAAAATTTTCCGATTCCAGTCAGACTTGGTACATCTTAATATAAACGCAAGATCTATTAGAGATCGAAACATTTTTTCTGGTACCTCCCCCACACATAGGGTTTAAGATTTTGAAAACCAAAACCCTCTAGGAAAGCATCTAACTCTCTTCAAATTACACAAGTACCAACATTTTTGCTAACACAAGATCTGTTGTGAAGATGATATATATCGGCGAAACTCTTCTGGTATCTCATCTACAAAGGGTCACAATTTTCAATACTTTTATCTGCCATGACTTGCGAAACATGACAGCGATTCTTTACGACTAGCTATATCTAAATATTTCTCTTAACCCGAAACCTGAGATGAGTATGGAATTTATGATTCCGCATAAAATTGGATATAAATGTTCGATTTTCTAGTAATTTTGCCCATACCAATATTTTTATCTGTATTAGGTGAAGTATAAAAATGGAATCATTCGGTCGACTATATCTGGTACCTTACGCACATTTTAACATATTCTAAAAATTATTAGATATCTCATATAAATTGAAGAAAGTAGGACAATATTGGACCATTCCTACGGAACATACTCCTCAGAGGGTCAACCATTTGCATAATCATAACAGAAGTCAAGATATATTTAAATATTTGAACTATGGCTAAAGGTATACATCTGTTGGCAAAACTGACTGATACTTTTTTAATAATAATTCCACATAAATTATTAGCTGGAAATTAATGTTGCTCAAATATTGAATAAACTGTTATCCATGAGCATTTACTTTTAAACGTACATTAAACCAAAAGACGTTAATTATATGATGGAGTTTTCTTTAAATAAATCCTATAGAATCATTATTTGTTTTAGCTTGAATTACATAAGAAGACTTATTTATTTATTTTTTTTCTTATTTAATTAGAGCATGTCAACTTTCAAATTCTCACATTAAATCTCATCTAAGCAACACTTTTTCTCCATCCCACAAGAACAAACAGGCCATGAAATGGCAAAGCCATTAATCTCTCTAATGCAATACAATTCTGAAGGAAATTAAATGTAATATTTTCTAATTAAAAAAATATATAATTGATAATTGAACTAGAAATTGAATCCATAGTATAATATTTAGAAAACAAACAAAAATATACGATTTATAAAATCAATTAGATAAAGTGGTGTAATAGACAATTGTAACAAACATTCTGTGTATAAATGGAAGCATATATAATCTGCATACCTACATTGAAAGAAAAAAATCTTTTATTTTAATTTTTTAACATTTTCTAACATTTTATTGAAATTACTACTCCTATTAATCCAAATGATATATTTATGGTTATTATCTAGGGGCCAATATACCGTAGCTGAACCAAGTAGTCTAACTCATTGTACTTTTAACCAAAAACAACAAATCGAAACATCAACCATCTTGAAAAAGGGAAGAATAAAAATAATAATGTTCTTAAAAAAAAAACTACTATACCTATATATTATATTAATAATAATATTCTATTAAAATATTAAAAAAAAATTGAAAACAATTACAGCAATTTTTATTGGAAGAAAACCAGAAATTAGAATTTTGGAAAACAAATGAAACCGTCTAAGAACTAATGTAGATATTTATGGAAATTAGAGATGTTTATTTATGTATTTTTAATAGCTTCCAGAATTATATGAAATGGAAAAAATGGGAGAAAATTACTTACAATCTTTTTTT